TATAAGCATCCCCACTGCTAGCATCTGCACAGTGGGGATGCTTATAACACTAACTGTGACCTCCCTTCAATGTGTGCCCCTTTCCACCACAACACTAAATAATCATATTTTGGGCATGATCGCCTCAACCTTTCCGCCGACTCTGCAATTGTTCTTGACGGCATTTTCACGGACACACTGACCCCTAAACAGGTCACTGGTGTCCGTGAAAACGCAGATCGTCATGTCTTGATAGGTGGCCCGGCGGTCTTGGGCATGATCGACTCAACCTTTCCGCTGACTCTGCAATTGTTCTTGACGGCGTCTCCCGATTCATCTTCACGTCTTGAAATTTGAGGCTTGCCGCCTCGTGGAGCTTCTACCGGCCTCGCTGCAACGGAAGGTTTAAACTTGTCGTCGAGTGCAACGTACAGCTGCTGGCCAGTTGCAAATGATCACAGCCAGTTAACGTAACGGGAGGCGGATTGGACAAAACCTCCAAAAACGGGGGTTTCATTGAAACCTCCATTCAAAGCTCCATTCTCGTAAATCATGGAAGGAACACCGACGAAGCAAACCATCCAGGAGTCGTTTCGCGCCACGTCAACACGCCGAACGTATGCGACCTACCAAAAGCAGTTCGAAGCATTTTGTGCAACACAAGCAAGGCACGGACCCAATAATCGCTTCCACAGAGGTCTGCACAGATTTCTTTCACCACCTGAACTCGTTGGGATGGAAAGCGCGCACGATCGACTCCGCCAAGACAGTACTTCAAGGAGAAAAATGTCGAACCCAACACTGCCCAAGCAAGTGAGTCGAAGCAGTATGTTGTCGGTCTGCAAAAGTACAATCGACAAAACAATGTGGACGACGAAACAAAAGCCCACGCATTGACTATCCACGAGCTGTCCACGCTTATGTATGGATTTGCTTCGCTCAATGCAATTCTGGGTGCATTGTATCGGTTCATGCTCTCGTACTGCTATCTTTGTTGTTTTCGCATTGGCGAAATGATTGCGTTGAAGTGGAATGACGTCGCTCTGGGGAAGTCTGAAAATGGTGCGTATGTTTCTAGTCGTTTGAGATGGCATAACAAAGCAAGTGTTGAAAAGGATTGTCAGGTTTATCATCTTGTAAATGAAGAATCATTTCCATTTTTACGCGTGTGCGGATTTTATGATGATTATTTGGAAAAAATTGCTTTAACTATGATGCAAACGTCGAGGGATGCATTTGTATTTCCTTACACTTCTTCGCTTTCAAATGGAAACGTTAAAGTGAATTGGTTTAAATGTCGGTGTCACTATAAGTGCGCGACTCAGAAAAATAAAGTATACCTCCTCGTATAAAAATACAAAACACTCCAAGATCCTATAACGATCATGCATGTATAAAGGTGTAACGATACAACTGTCCAATCATAACAATCAAAATGCATGTCTCAGGACCAATCACGCGTCGTACCGTGGCCGGGTGGCAGTTGTACTTAGCTGCGAGTGTTTGACTGAGGCCATTGGGAAGCCTGACCAAGTAGCTGCTGTTGTTGTGCAGCAGCACTTCACGGAGTACAGCTGTATGGCTTCGCGCTCGCTGTTCGTCAGGTTGCGCTTTTTGACGGTCATTCCTAAATGTTTGTCATTCTGAGTGTTTGTTTTATATAAAGTATTTTATTGATGTATTGAAATCATCACAGCGACTTCATTTCGTTGAATTTCCCGCTCGAAGTTGGATCAAATCGGGCGTTTTGACACTGGCTTTCGAATGGTCCAATCAGAGCGACTAATTTTGAACCCAAGAGAGCGATTTCGATTGTCAAAAATGTCTTGAGAATATAATGAGAATTCATGTCAACCCTCCTCTAGGTCGCGCACTTATAGTGACACGGAGGGAGTATTGAACAAATTCAAGTACGACGTCAACTACATGATATTATTGAGTCGTTACCTAGCCTACCAATTGGAATAACTTTGCACAGTAAGCGCCGCGGTGGCTGTTTTTATCGCGTGTTTGAGTCCCCGGAGAGTCGTTTTAACTTTCGTGAGCTCATGGCATAGTGTCGCTGGGGAGACGCAAAGACATGCTGCGAGTACCTTGTTACGAGGAGTATGAGCGATGCAATTGACCCCAGAATGCTGCTGGAAAGACGCACCTTGGCTGGTAACGGCGTGCAAGGCGGCAACTCAAGTGGCGCTCACTCTGCCGACAGCATCGCCGCGTCGGTTGTAAAGCTGCTCCGAGACGGCAACGCCTTGGCCAATATCCCTCAAGTTGCCATCACGCGTCAGACGACGATCCAGGAGTTTGCCGTGCCGCGAGCGATCCCGACTGCTCGGTCGGGGAAAGAAGCCTGGGATCAGTGGTTCTCCGCAGATCCAAAAGTCGGCCTCTACTGCGCGCTCAAGGACTACACAAAAGAGATGATCAAGGTTGACAGACGGAAGTACTCGGAACGCCTTACATTGGCAGTAGTATTCAGCAAGTATCAAAACTTCTCTCAATTCGAGACGGAGTATGCTGGACATGCGTTGACGTACTCGGGTTTTTTGCAGGAAGTACGAAAGAGGAAGTGTGAAAACACAATATAATGAACATTGATTGATGAATATAATGAACATTGATTCGTGTATTTCAACCAATCAGAAAATTGTCGGATGGATTTGTCGTGTTTGCCGATTAATCTATACGTACAGTATGTACAGGTAAATCTGTATGTATAGATAAATCGGCATACAGTCCTGATGTAAACTATACAGTCAACGACAAATTTTAAGGGACACCGAAGATATAGACCACGTGGAAATAATTCCGCCAATCATATTTAAAATTTCGAACACCGCTCTCAGATTGGTTGAAAATTCTCTCTGGCGCAAAACATTTTAAATTTCTGAGCACACGACAACAACCCAGTCATTTTGAGCAATGCCACCTTCTAGTCGCAGCAAGATCAGCCCGAAAAAGAAATCACGACGGCG